CCATACCAAGTTTCAAGCCTTGAATCAAATTTTTGCCCAGTCAATTGGATAATTGACTTAGAAATCAGCTATATTGGGGAAAAAGTCAACTGTGGCCAATTGACAGTCAAAACTCATGAATTTTGACCCACATCAACATTATGAACTCATATGAACCATATTATCAAGTTTGGATCACAATTCCACAAGAAATTTGATCAGATCACCAAAAGGGCAAAATGGTCATTTTAGGGTTTTTGACTGTACAAAGGAAATTTTTGACTGTTTGACCTAGCCAATGGCAAATCAAGCTCAACCATGGACTCAAGGACTCAATGACAGTATCTTGACCCATTCAACAAGTTCAAAAGATCTCAAATGCATGGGATTGACAGATGAATTTTTCAGTCAACTGATCAAAATTTGACTGTACACTGAAAAGTCAAACTTTGACTTTTTGGTCAAAATCAAGTGCCAAGAGTCATTTTTCATCAAGACATGTCAAATTATGAAAATTTTTCATCAAGAAATCCAAAATTGCAAATTAGGGTTTAAAATGGAAAAATTTCATAACTTAGAAATTTTCTAAGTTATGAAATTTTCTTAATTTTTCCTAACTTTGTCCCACATTTTCACCAAGATGAAAATGGATTCAAACAAAACTTTCAACATTAAAGTTGTATTCCACCACAAAGTCTACAACTTTGATTCACAAAGTATTCTCAAAAGAAGCTTGGATCTCAAGTTATGAATTTTGGAACAAGGGTACCTAAAACTTTTAACTTAGGGAAATTTTGCCCTAGTTTAGGAAGGATTTTGACCCATCTTCTTGGCCATTTTTCACATAGTTCCACTTGGAGTTTCAAGTTTCATTTCAAAGATGGATTATAGTACATGTTGCAAGCTTTCCAAATTATCCAAGAACTCCTCAAACACCTTTGTGGTTAGGGAGAATCAAATGCTTGAAGTTGGAAAAAACTCACTTTGTAACCATGGCCAATACATGTTCATACCAAGTTGAAAATCTGACCAAACTAGCTTAGTACATAATTACAGGCCTCTAAACCAATTTACACTCAAAAATTGAATGCAAATACATTGGATTTTTTTGTTATTCTGATCAAGAGAGCATTGTACAATGAACATTTCCATTTTAAGCATAAAGATGGCACTTCCATTTTCATAAAGGTCACTTTATGTCAAATTGCATTTTCTTGAGCCTTGGACTTTTTTCCTTGCAGCAAACAAGTTCCATAATCTCAGGCATAGTACACCAACTTGAGCATGCTTATAACTAGCCTGTACAGGCCATAGCTTGGTCACCTCACATCTTTGCTTTCAAAACAAGCCAAAAGGCCAAAAGCTCATAACTGGTATATCTGATATATTGAACTCAAGTCAAGTTATAAAACAAGTTACACACATCCTTGCAAGCCAGAAGCACGAGCCCTTGACCTCTCAAACCTCCTCATACTCAAAAACCACATTTTCTTGCAAAATAGGGAAAGCCCTATAGAATCACTTTCATCTTCACTTTGCCTCGTGCGTTTTTCCTCAAACTTGTTCCAATACCTTCCATTCAACTCACTCAAACTATCCCAAACCTCCATTGCCAACTGTAACTCCATTTACAGTGTTCACTATTTTTGTTTGGAAGCTTTGCAGGTTGAGTTCTGTAGCACGATTCAGGCCATTTCAAAATAAACTAAGCATTGGGAAAGGTTCAGGGGACATCAAGCAAGCTCAAAAAAACCTCAGGCCTTGTTGAAAGTTGCTACATTGTCCAGCTCGAACTCAACTGAAACAGGTATTTCATGAACTTCTATCTCTCTATTTAGGAACATTTAGACTTAGGTTTGTGAATGAAAGATGTTGTATTCATTGCCTTGAAACCATACATGTGCTTAGTTTTCATTTATATTAATCGTACTAAGAGAATTTCATCCATGAACTTTCTGAAAAAACCAGGTTAAAAATTAGGGCCAGAGAAATTCTCTCTGGTCTTTGAGAGTTAGCTTAAGTTTTTTATATGGTTAGACTCGTGATTTGATGCTCTACAAGTTTCATATTTTGAGTTTTGTCAAAAGATCACAAATACAGGAGATACAAGTTTGTACAGGCATGCGCGCGTTTTTCAAATTTCTGGAGGTTGAAGATGAAGTCTGGGCTGGGCCTGGATTTCTTTGCTTCCAACACCTCCCAACTTACTTTCAGCACCCCCTGACCCATTTCTTTGTATTTTTATTATTTTTGTATTTTAATTTCTTTTCTGACTTTGATATTTTATTTTCAAATATAAAAAAATATTCTAAAAATATTTTCACAATTTTTTTCATTTATTAGATATATTTATTTTAATTTTTCCTAATATAAACAACAATTTAAATACATATATTATTTTGTTTAAACTTGAAAATGATGCAAATAATACTCTTATTTTCATTTCCTTTTTTTATTTTACATCAATAATATTTTCTTGAATATATTGTATTTTTGTAAATATTTTATTTTATTTATTTACATACTTAACATATTTAATATATATATATATATATAATATATATATATATATATATATATATATATATATATATATATATATATATATATATATATATATATATATATATATATATATATATATATATATATATCTATACTTTTGTTTTATTAAATACTTAGAAATAAAACACAAAAACATTAGATTTTTATTTTTATTATTATTTATACTAAAAAATACATTTTTTTGGATATATTTCATTTTTATACATATTAATATATTTTTGTACATAAATAATACATTATATTTATTTTCTTAAGAAATTAGGATTTTTTTTGCCCTAAAAAAAAATAAAATTAATCTATATTTATTTCTTTATACCTTTTACATTAAAAATACTTTTTGCATACATGAATAAATAAAAACTCTTTTTTTGCATAATACATTTTATTTAATATTTATTTATTGTATTTATTTAAATATTGTATATTTTAAATATTATGCCTTGCAATTCAATTTGGTTGTCAATAATTTAGGGTTTAATTTCTTGCCAAATAATCCCCTATTCAAATTTGTACCCCCCCTCCCTTATATCATGTTGTAATAGTTTAGAATTTAATTTCTCGCACCTTTAAGCTTTCAATTATGTCATGATTAGAATTAGGGTTTGTATGCAAAATCAAAACCAACAAATAGTTTGACCTAATCAAAGACAAAAATGCATGAAAAACAAACACAATGCACACTTGCACCCCTAGGGTTACAATCCACTTGTTGCCTTCAAAAATGGGCCATGGTATGCATGTTGAGTACTTTGGCAAAACAAAAACAAAACAAAAGATCATAGTTCCTCGATGACGCTATCTGAGTTGCCTAAACAAAATGATCAAGTCCCTAAGGAAAATTGCCAAAAATACTTGACACAAATTATTATCATGGTTTATACGATGACCCGCGCCTGTCCCGTTTAACATCCTAACACAAGGTTGTTCACCAAATACAATGGTGAAACAACACTGTTAAAAGGGTTAAAAAACATAAGAAAGATCTTTGAGTAAAATATGGTAAGATAGCTCTTAGTTACTTGATCAAAAGCTTGCAAAAACATCCTTGCTATTTTCAAAACACACTTCACCACACAATTTCAAAACCCTACTTTCAAACATTGAAAACTTTTCAAAAGACAAAAACACCTTTGTATACATTCAAACAAGAATCATTACAAAGGTTGCCGCAACGATGGTCTCTTTTCAAAACATCTTTCAAAACCACACACAAAACACCATTTCAAACAATTGAAGAGCACCATTTCAAACAATTGAAAAGCAAAACAAGTGATTTAAACAAGTAACTAAGAGCTCATGGATAACCATGCATAGAAAGGGTGCTAATACCTTCCATTTCTATAATCTACTCCCCGAACCCAAGAAAACATCTCAAAGGTCTTTCCTGTGCTTTTTGACCTTTCCTTAGGATAAAATAAAAAGTCGGTGGCGACTCTTGCTAAACCGAAACATTTGCGAACACAAACGCAAAATCCCAAGTCAGTTCTCCCACCGTATCACACTATGCAATTTTATTATTAAGATTGAATTATTCGATCGAATCATCATGTTTATCCGATTAAGTCATGTGATTTAACTAATGACTATAAGGTTCAACCAATAATCCATTCACTCATGACCTTGCAAGTAGATGATTGGTCCGATTTTTAAAATATTAATTCAATTTATTTTATTTCACTCGTTAAACTTTAAATATAAATGTAATAGATGCCATCCCCTCTCTCCAAATTTCACATCACAAAACATATATTTATGCAACATGAATATTTACTTGTCTATTTAAATTAACACGTGACAAAAATGTCTTCTATCAAAATTTCAAACATTTCGTTTGTCCTATTCTTTGCCAGACCCAAAATTCTCTCCATCGTTAAGTATCTTATCTGCCGTCTCAAATATTTTTAATTAATTAAACTTACTTTTTCATTGTCACGGAAAAATTGTTTTCTTGTTGTCATTTACAAAAACTTTAAGCAATATTATTATTAATTCATCAATAATATATCCTAATTATTTATTGCAGAAAAAAATTAAATTAAATAACGAATAATTTTAAGTATGGTAAAATAATGATTAATAATACTCTATTCCGTCCTTTTTATAACAGAATTAATTTTTTTTATTAAATAATTAATATAATATATCTATATTATAAATTAAATACATTAATTATTTAATTAGTCTAAAAACGTGAAATATTCTTTATAAAAATTATCTAAGAGAGTAATATTAAAAGTTGATATATTTATTGATTTATTTGTTATATAAAAAAAAAACTAAAAAAATGACAATAAAAAAAGTAAGAAAGAGTAACCATAGCATGTGTAAAAAAATAAAGAACCCAAGAAGCTAAGCATGTAAAAAAATAAAGAAGCTTATGTCTATAAATTACCATACTCACCATAGCTATATTCCTCAAACAGTATAACTAGTAACAAAATATCAGTAGTAAAAAAATGGGTCTTAGTGCATTCTCTCATACACTCATCCTTCTAGGTTCACTCTCAATATTCATAGTGAGCCCTTCCTATGGTTTTAATCCAAGGAAGCTTGTTAATGTAACTTCATACTCCTCACCTGATCAGATTGGTCACCATCTGTGGCCACTTGGTATGGATCTCCCGACGGGCGACGGAAGCGAAGGTATACATTAATCAGATATCTTTTTGATGTTATTTCTTAAAACATATTTAACCAAATAGTAAATGCTTAAATTTTTGTAGACATTTTCAATGATGATACTTCATAATATTTGTGTAGGCGGTGCTTGTGGATATGGAAATGCTGTTGGACAATCTCCATTTTCGTCACTGATATCAGCCGGAAGTCCGGCCATCTATGACTCCCGGCAAAGGCTGTGGCTCTTGCTATGAGGTAACTGTTTTCAAAATATAAATAAAGGAAGAAAAATATTATTAATCAAAGTGTCACTAAAAAGTCGCATTATATAATTTCAGGTTAGGTGCACAGGAAATTCTGCATGTTCAGGAAACCCTGTGAGAGTAGTTATCACTGATGAGTGTGCTGGTTGTGGCTCAGATGCTCAATATCATTTTGATTTGAGTGGCACTTCTTTTGGCTCCATGGCTATTTCAGGTCTAGATCAAGAGCTACGTAATGCTGGAAAAATAAACATGGAACATAGAAGGTAGGGTTCAATTTTAACCCAGCGCAGAATGCTTGAATATCTAGAGTGTGCTATTTTCAAGATCTCAAATTTAAATCCACTTAGATGAGTCCCTTGCACTAATACAAAAATTTAAAATTCAAATTCAAATATTTTTCTTTCAAAACTATAATATAATATTTTATTAAAATTTATTTTAAAATAGTAACATGTACTTTTCAACTATCTATATTAATTAACGTCTATTTATTAATTAAATAAAATAATTTAAATTTAATTTAATTGAAATAAATTGATAGTGTAAAGAAGTTTTATATTATTACTGAATCACCCTTCGTTAAATTGCTGTAGATATTTGACTTTTTCTTTAATCATATTTAAAATAATATTTGTGAATGATTGTGATTTACTGTAAAATATTTATACCGTCAATGCATTACAATTATTATTATTTAAATTACTCTATAAAATTATAATATTTCTTAAAATTTTCTATCTAAAACCACTTTCAAACGGTGGTTTTTCAGATTGGTTTGTCAGCTTGACATTGAAATTGTCAACAAAAAAGTTGTTTCAGTTGGTGAACGCTACAAATATAGTAACGGTTCTTCATATTTTTTTATTATTAAAAATAATCAATTAAAATTGTGAGATTCAATATAAAATTTAATATGAATAAAATATTAATATACAAAGTAAAATTGTGGGGCTTAATATAAGTGCTTTAAAATTGCACCATTTGAGTGAAAAAATGGAGTGAGTTGCTTCAAAATGATGTGGTTTAATGAGTTCCACAAAGAATCCAAATATAAATAACACCATTGGAGATACTCTGACAATTTTCAACTACTTCCCAATAGATACGACAACTTTTTAACTTTAAATTTATATATATTTTTGACATTTGTGGATTTCACGTTTTTGTCATTAATAATACTTTTTGTTTTCATTATTTAAACAGTTTGTTAAAATATAGCAATTATTAAGATCACATATTTTGCTATGCAGAGTTGAATGCAACTATGCAGGTAGATCAATAGCTTTCCACGTGGACTCTGGATCAAACCATGAATATTTTGCAACATTGATTGAATATGAGGAAGGAGATGGTGATCTTAACAAAGTTGAAGTGAAGGAAGCATT